CCAGCGTGCCCAGAGAAGCTGTGGCTGCTCCTCCCTGGAAGTGTTGAAGGCCAGGTTGGATGAGGCTTTGAGCAACCTGGTCTAGTGGCAGGTGTCCCTGCTGATGGCAGGGGGGTTGGAACTGGATGAGCTTTAAGGTCCCTTCCAACCCAAACCAGTTTGTGATTCTATGGTGTCAGAGCAGGCAGCAGTAGAGATAAGGATGGACAGCAGTGATTTATTTTTCAATCTGCTCAAGACAGCAGAAATATATCTCCTGCGAGCAGTGATCACTCCCTGTCACGAGGCCCAATACGACAGAGTGAGCAGCCGAACTCCTGAACCTGCATACCTGGGACACTTGGCTTGATCTTTTGAAGAAATCTTTTAAATAAAACCCATAATCTTTCAGCAGACCCTGTGTTCACTGAGTGGCTGAGGGAGATGCTGCAGCCTGAAGCCTTTCAGCTTTTCTGCTGCTCATGCACTCAGAGGACATCAGAAAACAATATTGTCACTGTAATAAAGATTAATTTAGGAAACTCAGCATGAGACAAGCACATCCCATTGCATGTCCCAGTGCAGTTCTCTCCTGGCTAGAAAAAGTAGTGGTTGCAACAGCTTTCCAAGGTAAGACCTTACATCTAGATGCTGGCTTTCTCCATCATATACAGAGCTCTTCGGGTTTGCTTTTTGTATGTTGTTCTTCCTCCTTGGACACAAGCTTATTTTGGGTTAAAATTTTACAAGAAAAATTATTCAAAATACAGCTCTGTTGACCTCTGCTTTGGCCTGCTCTGGCACCTGTGCTTTGTATCAAGAGAGTCCATCTTGCCTGGTGGGAAGTGGGACTTGTAGCAAAGACATGTCTTTTGCCCTTCTTGTAAGCATCTGTACAAGGCAGAAACAAGCCTTTAAAATAGCTCCATTTGTTTCCATCCATCCTTAGATGTGTTGGTAGATAAAAACCTACTGTAGATCTCATCTCTCTGCCTGTGACCAAACCATGTATCTGCCCCAAAGGACCAGTGCCTTGTTTAGAGTGGTGGAAGGGTGTCCATCCTGGGGATGCCCCATCTCACCTGGACACAGCCCCAAGCAACCTGCTGTAGCTGTGATGCTGGACCTGCTGGGAGTGGGGTTGGGCTACAGACCATCACCCTGGTGCCTCCAGGCTGAGTTATTCTGTGTTTCACACCTACAACTGTTGCAGAAGTAGAGATGGGGAAGGATGGACACACGATTAGAAAGGGATGAGTGAGGCAGAACTCATTTTTTTAGGTGCATCTGGCATGGGGTTTGGTAATGCTCATGCCTGCAGGCTATTCCCCAGAGGTGATATGACCTAGAAATAATCTATCTGCACAAAATAACCTCTGAAACAAGCATTTATGGTCTTGGAAAGGTCACAATGAGAAACAACATCACCAGCAAGCCAACTGGTCACCCAGGCTTGTTATAGGTGACATTTCTATCAGCATTTTTTGCCATAGTAAGATCATTGATCTTTGTCAATGATATCAGTCATGACCATTGCTGAATTTCACCCAGCAAATTTTCTAGTGGCAACAAAACTAATATTATAGGTTTCCTTCCTCCCCTTTTTATTTTTCAAGCTTGGAATTGGCAGCCAGCTGCATGGCACTGCAACCCATCCAACAACACCAGCCTTAAACACATCTGCATGATACATAATGACAATTTTCTTTTTCCCAGTAATTAAATCAATGAAGTAATCCCAAAAGAGGCAAACATTAGTCCTATGAAAACCCATGCAAACTTACCTGAGATCCCTTGCCTGTCCCAGAGTCTAGAGGAACGTCTCCAAGCTCGAAACCTGTTTCAATTGAAAAGTTCAATTTGACAATGATTGCTGTTACAGCTCTGTGAGTCAAGCACTCTGCAAGATAAGAAGAAACCAATCAATAATTGTTACTGCACAAGGAGATTATAGGGTTTACTTTTTTTTCCCCAGTGCATTTATTTAAAGTTACAAATGGTGCCAACATCTCTAAAATAACCTTTCGGGATTTGCACTGATGAGCTCCTGTGCACAAGGAATTTGAGAAAAGGACTTTTCCCTCCTCTTTGCTTCATCTTGACCAGCCCATGGAATGGCTGCTGCTTCCCATCTGGCCGTGACTTCTAATGCTCACGTAAGTTCAGTCTCCAGGGTTTCCAAACTATACTAGAAGAAACTGAACACAGGATTGTATTTTAAGTGTAAAATACATCCTATTGATGTATTTGTATTTATTAAGATATTTATTAAAAAACAGCCTTTTCCATCTTTTTTCCTTTTGAGTCCCAGACTGGTTACATTGTGCATAACTCCACTAGTTGCCAAAGCATGATTTATCCAAAGGTTTTGAGTTTCCTCTTCTCAAACATGATGGGACCCATCACGTCCCTCAGACAGCGGCCGCTTGCCCTTGCTGGCAGGGGGAATGAAAGACCCCAGGAGCAATGCCCCTTTGCCTCCCCCAGCAACCATGTCTTTTAGTGAGAATTTAAGGCTGGGACCACCTCTGACCCTCTCCCTCACACTCCATTTCCATCAAAGACACATCTCAAGAGGTTCAGGTTTTCTCTTTCTTTCTTGCACCCTAATCTAAGGGTTAATACTCCAGCTAACACTGGGCACACACAGTCTGAATCATTGCTTCAAGGTCACGTTCAGTATCGACTTTTGATTCAGTGATTTTTGGACTGGCTGGTGGGGAGAAGCAAGATTTACTGATACGTTATCTCCTGGCTGCAATACTGAAGGAACACACTTCCTTGCTGTCAGTGGAGAATATACCTCCTGTGCCATGTGGGTTGACAGATATCGCTGGTGAGCTCTGTGCTGTCGGGAATACCCTGCTTCAGGGCCCAAGGTTGCTCCAAATTTTACACCAGTCTCGGAGGTAACTGAAGAGCCTTGTTTGACAAAAACATGAGCAGTCAATCACTCTTCTATCCAGGGAAAGGTCCCAAGACAGAGATGAACCAGGAGTAGGTTGTGCCTTGGCAGGAACAGCAAGAGCTCTTCTTGAAGGTGGTGTATTTGCTAGATAATCATGAAACCTTAAGAAATTGAGTTTCAAGGAACTGGTGTAGTGATGGTAAGTCCTGTCAGTCTCACCCTATGAAATGCAAAGAGACAAGGAAAACACCTCACCAAGGCTCTGTAACTTGAGAAAGGACAATTCAGCTATTGCTGGGGGTGGAGGAGGAAAAGGAAGTTCGATAGCACCTCAAAACATGTTTTGGGGAATATCTTAAATGTTTTCATTTTAAAAAGACTAATCGATGAGATTATGGGGACCCACAGCTCCCCTTCTCCCCTAGGTGGCATGGCCATGTTCACCCACCCTGCCTAAGGACTGCAGAAGAAGGAAGCCTTTTGGTACAGAAAAGGGACTTCCTGAACTGGAAAGACTACAGCTGAACTGCTAAGAGCTTAGTAAATCCCTCTGAACTCCTTCCTGCCTGCAGAAATGTAACCTGGTGCCTCCAAAGATGGTGGATTACCAAGATGGTGGCCAGGAAAGTGTTTCTTGAGTGCACAGAGCGCAATAGGTACCCTGGAGCACCTCAGAGCTGCAGTCAATCTGGTGACAATGACAAATTGCCTCAAAAGAGATGTCCTGGAAATGTTTCCAGCACTTAGAAGAAACTCTCCCCACTTGTTTCTGCACCTCACGTTCACCACATCAGACAGGTCACCAGCACAACCACCACAAGGAAGGACTGTGGTCCCACTGGAGGCACAACGCCTACCCAAAGCAGCCACACTGGAGCACCTAGCCTGAAAAATAAAAGCCCCATACAAAAGCTGTCCTGTCAGGGGGAAGATGCTCATGAACCTGCTCATCAACCACTGATGGTTGAGATCAGTAACTCTGCAGATCTAGGCTAGAAGGAAACCAGAGCCTTGGAGGTAACAGTAGCCATGGTTGGACAGGTCAGAACATCCCTGAAGTTAAGCTCCACTTTGGGGTGGGAGAAAACATGGGATTTGAAAGCAGGCACAAGTCAAATGCATGCAGACCCTCTTCCTTTGTGAGGTCCTTGCCTGGACAGCCTCAGTCCAAGCTGGTATCACATTGTACCATGTGAAGTTATCTTCTCCTAAGATGAAAAGTTTCCCACAGACAACTCACTTCCACAAGAGCAAGAGTCCTCCAACTCCTCCTACTTCCTATTTCGTGCTAAATGAGACTAAAGAAAGTTGTATTTTATTTCTAACCCTTATCCTACTGAAAGATGGCTTCTACCCATGATGGCTGTCACTTGATACCAACTTGTACCCTTCCCAGACACACCCAGAAACTGCAAACAGCACAGGATTTTCATTCTCAACATAGTGCAAATGCTGCAGAGCACTCTGGGACAAGTCAACAAAGCCTTTGC